GTTCTGCTGCTATCAAAGCTTCTTTAAAGGCTAATTAGTGAAACCTGCAGGTCTGAATGTAACACAGTACCAGCTGAGGGTTTGCAGTGAGGAACACACTTATCACTTCTTTGCGTGTGTGTGTGTGTGTGTGTGTGTGTGTGTGTGTGTGTGTGTGTGTTTTCAGGTCCATTTCAACACACGGTTTGTAATGAAAACCCTCATGACCATCTGTCCCGGGACGGTGCTGCTGGTCTTCAGCATCTCTCTGTGGATCATCGCTGCGTGGACCGTACGAGTGTGTGAGAGGTCAGTGCACACGTGACACACACCTCAGTGTACATGTATATGTCACCTTGTAAGGACCGTTTAGGACCATTAAACCGGCACACACAACCCTGTGAGGACCCACTGCTCCTCATGGCCAGTCCCATGAGTTTAATTGTTGCTTTTTGAGTTGGAGGGTTGTTTTAGGGTAAGGGTTAGAAAAATAGAATTCAATGCAGTCTTTGTGTGGATAAAATAACATGGACTCTATGTATGTGTGTGTGTGTATGTGTGTGTGTGTGTGTGTGTGTGTGTGTGTGTGTGTGTGTGTGTGTGTGTGTGTTTTCCTGTTCATTATGCCACAGCGTCTCAAGGTTTAATTAGGAATACAAGGAAGTAATAATTACATTGTGCAAAAAAGATGATAATAATCAAATACAGTATGCTCCATCTTGAAAGTTCAATTCCCGAGACTACCAGTCATACGGTTTAATTTGATTCTGTCAAAAGTTTTAATTAATTTTTTTAAATAATAAAAACAGAACAGCACCTTGAAAAATGATCATTTCCATCCAGTAAAGGAAGAATGTTGAGTGCAGTGCTTGACATGTCAGGTGCCAGGTGTGTAGCATGTAGCATCATTAGCAGCTAATCTTCAAACTAAGCATAAAAATGTTAATATTTAAAGATAAATACAAAAAATTACTATTTAAATAAGATAGAGAAAGTATTTGCTATTTGTTGTTTGACTAACTTCAAATGGTATTTATAAATTTACAAATCGATCAAAGAAAGGATTTTATTCTGAAAGTAGTAAATTACAAGTATCCCAAGTTTGCCACAAATAATCCCACCCACCTTCAGATTAAACCAATAGAAACTAACAGATTTGTGTCCCACTAGAGGAGAAGAGGACAAGACACAGACTGAGTGACAGTTTATTAGCAGTTAGCGTTAGCTTCCACTATTTTTTATCTAATGTTAGCAGAGCCAAGATTTTTTTTAGCAGATTAGTGTTTATTGACCTAATGTCTTCCTCTGAATTTAAAAAAATCTGTTTTTATTTAAGAAAAACAAAAAATGCATCTTTTCCTTCTTCATATCAATATTACATTTCAGTAAAATGACTGATCTTTGATTCAGCAAACATAAAGGAAGTCTCTGTTAACCACTAATCTCATTATTCTGCCATGTTTAAAGGCTGATGACAATTTTACGAGACATTACTGATGCACCATTATGTGGACGACAAAAAGAGACTCGCTCTTCTGATGAGTTTCGTGCTCTTTGGAGATAATCTCTGGGATAAAAGAAAATGTCAGTTGATTAATAAGCTTGATTAAATACATGGTGACCAGGCTGCTTGAGGCCTGGCTCCAAATTTAGCTTTAGTTGGTGTTTCCACTTCAAATATAAGTAAATAAAAATATTGATAACTAGATACCGTGTAGTGGTAACACAATGACCCCTGCAATCACCAATGCAGCTGGACTCAGAAGTCTACTCATACCAAACTTCATGCTGCTACGTGCATCCCAAAATTGATTGATTTTTTTTTTTTTTTTGGGAGGGGGGGCGTCATTGGTGGGCCTGATGGATAGCCCTTCATCAGAGCTAAACAAACAAAAAAAGAAATCTGAAGCTTCTATGTTGAACAGTTTCTGAGTTATAAGCATTTTTGCATGTCCTGACACCCCCTCTTTAGACAGAGCCCCCTCCTCAAATATGTGGTCTATCGTAAAACCGTTGGCTGGTGCAGTGTAGGTCAGACTCATCTACAGTCCTGACTAATTTCATGGGGATTGGTGCAGCTGTTTTTGTGCTACTGTTGACCAAATATCGCTGAAAAAAGAAGAAAAAACAAAACTGTATGAAAACAATAATAATAGTATATAATATATATCAATGAATATGCCCCCCCTCATGTGCGGGGGTCATATTGTTATGAGTCCTGCTTCGCCTGCGTATTATTATTGTCAAAATAATAAGTTTAAAAAATTTCAGTGTAAGAACTTGGAGCTCCAAAATTTTAGAGTAACACCTTGTTTCAATGTCTTTATGAGAGAAAATACAGTGTTTCTGTATTTACTGCAAACTTTCAAGGCTAAGTTTTTCAGATTTTCTAATGAAAAGCTTTTTTTTCATTTTATTTTTTTGATAAAACAACTTTGTCTCAAATCTGCACTGAGTTTGGTTTCTATGGGAACAGTGTTGCATATAGAGCAGGGATGATAGAGTAACAATCGTGTTCGGATCAAACAAAGATGTAAAACACGTGTTTTAGTTTTGACTCCCACACTTTCAGACAGAACTAATGTTCCCATTGTTGTTACTTTTTTATTAGTTTTGAATTGCAGGATTGATTAAGAGCAGTTTTATTCTTGAAAGAAGGAACATAAATTGAATGCACTGACAGTAAAGAGGATGATGCTCCTTTGAACCAGTTCTTATTTATGATCTTATATGTGTAGAGAGTGTGAGTGAGGGAGGAAATGAGGGAAACCCTGGTTCTCTAGGGCCACTGTCCTGCATGTTTTAGATCAGTGGTCCTCAACCCTGGTCCTTTAGGGCCAGTATCCTGCATGTTTTAGATCAATGGTCCTCAATCCTGGTACTCAAAGGTCACTATCCTGTCTGTTTTAGATCAGTGGTCCTCAAACCTGGTCCTTTAGGGCCAGTATCCTGCATGTTTTAGATCAATGGTCCTCAATCCTGGTACTCAAAGGTCACTATCCTGTCTGTTTTAGATCAGTGGTCCTCAAACCTGGTCCTATAGGGCCAGTATCCTGCATGTTTTAAATCAATGGTCCTCAATCCTGGTCCTTTAGGG